GGAATGTTTAATTTTCCGATCTCTGTGCATCTGATCAGTTACATTGATTAAAATCTTTGTTCATTATGGACCTCAAAAGATGACTGGTTTACTGCTGTCGGTTGTTTCAAACATCTACTCTAAGCGGTCATTGGGCGCATGTTGACTCGATCAAGCGGAGTGTGTTTTCGGGCTCATTCTGAGCCCTTTCCTAGAAAGTGCCGTGTACCATGGGACAGTAACTCTATACCTGTGTGTTCGCCAGATCAGTTATTGAAGTTAGAACTTCATGAGGACGGATATCAATGTCAAACGGGGATAAATGAAATATTGGTGATAATAGAAAGGCATAGAGTCGTAAAAAGTTGTAATTGCCGATTAAATAAGTGAATAAATGAGCTCAAACCTGGATGAACAATACGGATTCCTTTTCTCGGTGGATATATGAGACGTAGTCTTAGACAGAAGATATGCTCATTTCAGTTAACATAATTGATTTTTTTTTTCGTTTCATTATCCGTTCGAGTATTGTGCATGTAATAATGCGAATGTATACATATATATACGTTATGTTAACGTGTGTATATTTGTATGCTAAGATGTTTCGAATGTAATATCGGTGTGTGTGTGTGTAGACATAAGATAGCATCGCGTTCTGTTGCATCGTCAGTCTCGAGCTCGATGGGCTGGTTGTATAATGTGAAATGAGTGAATGAATGTGTTGGTGTGCTCCTACTACTACTGATGCTGCTGCTGCTGGCTATTGCGTATTGCGTTCTTAAACGCTTGCACATCCCATGCCGTTAGTTCGTATCGATTATTTCCTCTCTGAAACTCATCACTGAATATTGCCTGCTGCTGCTGCATCTCATCTCGTTTTAGTTGATTTTATTTCGTTTCACATGCAGTTCAATCTGATATCTGCTTCAAAAAGACACGGATGAGTTGTTCGTTCGTGTTGCTTTATATTCACTGTAAATCAGTAGTGAATAGTTTATTGCCGAACGTGATTGCGAACCTGCATCAACGGATCGGTCAACGAGATTGGTGCGCAAAAAGTGTTTGTCAGCAAGTTGGGTCAAATGATGAATTCCATAATAATAATAATAATATTTCCTGTGTTATTACTCTCAGATGAAACCGTTGGTTAACTGATTATTGCTTTCTGCGCATTTCCTCATTTATTCTTTTAATAATGGAAATAGATTTACAGAAATTGTATTGTTCTCATCAGTATTGTTTTCATATACACACTCATGTAATAATTACTCAATAGTATTCCATTTTCTAGAAGATTATTGGTATTGTATTTTTTGTAGTGTTCCATTTTGGAGTGTCTGAAAATGCCTTTGCTCGTGTTAAATGCTTATTNATTATTGGTATTGTATTTTTTGTAGTGTTCCATTTTGGAGAAAATTTCTTCGTCTGAAAATGCCTTTGCTCGTGTTAAATGCTTATTCGGATTAAACTCGTTGCTTGATTCGTTTGTTATGATTATCGTATTGTTGTAAATACGTGTGTTGCTGTATTCTCGGTATTTGAAGGTAAATCAAAAATTGGACTGCGAAAAGGAGAATAATAAGCGTGAGTGGGTGTGTGTCAGAAGACGTTTTTTTTGGTCATTTAACGAAAGTTATTGGTGCGGATTGTTTGCTTGTTCCGTTTAGCAATATTGTCATTAATACGCGCAACAAGTCAGTACTCACTACGCATCACCATAAATCCATCATTTAATTCCTCAGTATGGTTTGGTCCCAGGAGGTTCAAGATGTCTTGGATTTATTTCATCTCGACGTGAGTCGCTCACTTTGTGCTTGTTATGATATCCGTTATTGATTTGCAATTGTTTCATATGAACACTCATACAACTAAATCGTCAATCGATCTGGTATACGCACGAAATGAGCAAAGAAATGCAGAATGAATGTATCAAAATTGTTCACAGTCATTGTTAATTGATGATGAATTATTTTCAAAAGCACTAAGTTTCCTTCTGTGATACTCTAGGCATAAGATTATATCAAAAATGCAATTCTTAATTGCTCAGTTAGTTTCTTATGTGAGATTAATCACATATTTATCATATATATGTATTTTGAAGGATGATGTGCTGCGTAAGATCAGCGAAGATATTGAGACAGAATTGGTGATTGGACTTGAGAAAGGCACTCCAGAAGCTACGATTGCAATGTTACCATCATTTGTTCCTGCGCTTCCAGATGGCAGTGGTAGCGTTTTATCTGCTTCATATTTCAGTTCATTACACAGATCTGGCTGGATAAGAAAAACAAATATAAATACAGTGTGATCACACTCAGACGGTGTGTCACTGAATGCACATACAAAATGTTTGTGAGTCGAGTATACCTGCGATATTCGCTTTTAGATATCTACTTGACGATTGATCATTTCTTGATTGCATCGTCGATTCGTCTCGACTTTGAATTTCTGATTCAAGTATTCGATATGACTGATGTCTAGGGAAAATGCCGAAATGTTTTGATACGCAAATGATGATCTCGTATTCTATGACAAACAAACCGCTCTCTCAGAAACCTTCTGAAAACAAAAAACTCATTAAAGCAAACTAAATTTGAAGTGTTCTTGAAGATTTTTTATTCTCAATCAGCAGTCGAATTTTGTCCAATCACGTTACGTATGAAGTATAACTATACTGAATGGAATAAGTATAACTGTATTAAGTACAACTGTATAACGAGACACAGAATTAATCACGTTGATTCCACTCAACGAATTCAAAGAATGATTTTCATCGTCTTTGATAAAAATTAGTTGGATAATGTGTATGGCATGAATTATTGAAACGCCTTAAAAGCGTCTAAGGACTGAATTAAGATTAATTGATCATTCAGTCATCCGTATGCGAAAAGTTCGTTTGATTTTAGAGAAGGGGAAGTATATAGCAATCGACTTGAGTGGTAAGAATTTACGTATAATGTTGTTGACATTGAAAGGAGAACATCAAGAACCCGAACAAATCAATCATAATTTCATCGTACCAACAACCGTTATGAAAGGCACTGGTGATCAGGCAAGTCATCACTCATCTGTCAATGAAAATATCATCTATCTTGCGCATGACAAGATCAGTGAAAATATCTAAGCAAAACAAAAATTGTTAAAAAAGATAGCCTTGGGTTTATCGTCTCTGTGACACTGTTAGCTATCATTTCGGACCCAATGAATGCTATCATTGAACAAGTACCTGTGCTTTTCTGGTGATTTTCAAAATGACTGAATTATTATTTTTGTAATCTGTGGTGTTATTGAGTGATTTTGCTTTTAGCTGTTCACATTCATCGCGAATTGTTTAATGAAATTTCTGAAAGAAGTTGATCTATTGGAAGCGAATCTCCCGATCGGTTTTGTATTCTCATATCCGTGTGAATTGTCGTCAATACGATCAGCACGTTTGTTGTGGTGGACGAAAGGTTTTGATATTCAAGACTGTCTTCAAAAGGATGTGGTTAGGCTACTCGAAGAGGCTCTCGACTTGAATATGGTACTTGCTTGTTTACGTAGTTGTTGACTTGAAATGTCTCATCATCCATTTAGCGAAATATCACTTGCTGATATATTATGAAATATTTGTGTTTTGAGTTATTACGCAACCAGCTTCATATCCTGTGAGTAAATGGAATCTAGTGTTTTCAAGCAAAAACATCAGCTGCCGTTGATTTGGACTTCTGGTTCCTGAAGTGTATACAGCTGATGTTATAGCAAACCCCGACATTACATTTCGTACCAGAAATATCTTTTCGAGTTGCTAATCATTGAGTTAGGTACATTCATTCGAAATGCTCTGAGCGAGTTTGTCCATTCAAATCATTTACCGATTGCTACTGCGATGAAATTCATACTCTAAAAGGACCGGAATGAAATTCAGACATTCGATTCAGTTTGGAATTTGTTCGAGTAGGTACAAGAGGCGATGGATTGAGTTTAAGTGGAACGAATGCAGTGTTGCTTTTAAGTTATGCGTAACGAGTTTCAAGGACTCTGCAGCTGAATATAATGTTGTGTTATGGTTTGCAGCTAACAAACGCAAAAGTGAAAGCAATAATGAACGATACGGTTGGGCAGTTGGCTGCGGCTGCATTTAAATATGGTGATGAGTGTACGATTGGAGTCGTGATTGGATACGGGTCGGTTGTGTTCATTTTTGAATTGATTAGGGCATTTTTTGAATTGACTTCAGTTCTGTCCGTTATATCATTTCACATTTTATGTTGTTACAGAAGATTGAATCAATTCAAAAAAAANAAAAAAAAGGTCCGCAAATTCAGTGAAATGCACAAAATGAATATTCTTTTCACATTCGCTGTGAATGGTAGTCTAGTTTCATTTCAGATGTAATTCATCATATCTGGAGGAAACAGCAAAGATCAAGAAATTCGACGCAGCAGCGCATCATTATAGGCATGAAAAGATGGTTGTTGTCACCGAGTGGGAGGAATTTGGTGCACATGTGAGTGTTTACTTTTTTGTTTTTGATATAGCTTTTATAATGAACTTTTGTTTAGTCGTTTTGCCGATTGTTACTTTTTGCATAGTGTGTTGAGTGATTATGAACATCATCGAAATGCAACGATAGCGAGCGCTGTGCGTGCTTGTTCACTTCATCCATCTCGTGATTCAAAGCAGTCATTTGTGCAGAAAATTGTTTGTTGACACATTTCAAATTCTGAGTCATTACTTATGTTTAGATTGAACCAGAATTCAACGTGCAATTAGCAGAATATTTCTTTCCCATGCTTTTTTTTTTCATTGCACCGTGAAATTTTCATCAATCTTCTGATCTCTCTCTCTCTCTCTCTCTCTCTACAAATGTGAATCGCGGTGTTTAAGTGATTGATTCTGTAGGCGAGGAGAGCAATTATTGATTAAGGGAATTTCAAAATGCATCATTTTCAACATATGCAATTCATTTTATTCATTCGTTTCTTCAAAATTGTTTCCTTCCATCAGCGCCGTTTTATTGCATTCGCTTCAAAATCACCTCTCTGCTTAATGGTTCGTTCGGGGAATGTACACGATTTGTGAGTCTAAATCATCATAAAATCACCAAGAGAACTCGCAATAAATAAATTCGTGAAGCACTTGCTGCAAAAAGAAAAAGATTATTGTGTTGATAGTTTAACGAGCATCAATCGATCCCAGTCAATTAGCAGTTTGTTCTTGCGTCAAACATGGATGAATTTTTTTTGTTTTTCTGCAAAATTTGTGAACGGAGGACAAAATACAGAAATAGTTGAAACGTTTAACCAAATACATGTCAGTGATGTATATGTCTGCATGCACTCGAATGCTGAACATTCCCATTTTTTTAGTCCATCTTCGTTCGTTCTATTTGTATATTATATCTCAATTCTGATCGTCGCTTCTCTGCGATGTGCATGAAAAGGTTGACAACGCACACATACACAAAAAGCATCGAATGCCACATGGCTTATGATCATTCAGTGGATGCATATCGTGAGAAGGGATCGTTCGCATGCATCCAATGGGAATTTATTTGAAAGAAAACAGCGAAAGTTCGATAGGCATCAAGAACACGCGAACAAATAGTCACGTGCGGATTGTATTCATGTTTAGTGGTAAATGTGTGTGTTGTGGCTTTTGAGTGTTTTTGTTAATTGAACAAACTTCTAATGTTGTGGGGGGGGAGGGGGAAGGAAGCGCTTTGGTCGTTAAAATTGCTCACATTAAAAAAATGAAAAATCAAACGTTCCTTTTCTCATTGTCAGTTCGGGAACAGTATTCGAAATAAAGATGGTTTGGTATTTTGCGGGTAGTCGATTGAGAAGAGTTTTTGAGCATTTTGAGTGGGCATTTCATTGGTATTGGTCGTAACCAAACGAGAAATTATATCGGTCGGAATACGACAAAATTTATCACTGTTCGTGGATTTCTGAATTTTGGTAATGACCAGAAAACCGAGAATTGCCCAAAACAATCACAAAATTCATTGGACTCTACCGTCACGAGTTCATTAGCGAACAGTTATTCGTCGCTCTTGCGATAGACTTCGTGAGATTAAGAGATGATGCATTTAGTGAGTTGAAGGATATTAGAGGATATGCGTATGTGGTATTGTTCGGTTAGGTACGTGGAAGATTGACTCGATCTCATAGATGTAATAACATGCGGAAACGCTGAAGTAAGCTGGTACTGTGCATTGCGCTGTTTGTTTGTGTGTTTATTTAGTGATTGTAGATTGAATTGGTAGATTGTAGATTAACTTGGAATCGGATTGCAAATTTGCACGCGTTATGCAGTGATGAAATGCAGTGTTTAATTGGTTGTTTCATCTGAAACAATATTCATTTATTCGACAGATGTATAAAATATACTCCAATAAGTATTAAGTTCGTTCTTTACTCTCTTATTTATACATCGGCACCGATTAATTGCATCAATAAATTTTTGCATCAGTATGATGCTCTTCCTTTGATCAGCGCACCATTGGCGTGCGTCATCGTCGTCATCATGAGACGAAAGAAAGCCCATAAATTTTATGTGTTTCTGAATTTATTAGCAAACGAATTCAATAAATAAATATACCGAAGCGAAACATTGAAAACATTTTAATAGCCGTGTGTGTGAATGAACGTGCAAAGTAACAAAGCAACCAATAATAGCACTGAGCTCTCTCTATGAGCACGTTGAAAGAACAACCATCAAATGGCATTGAAAGAAAAATGCATTTAAGGGGGATGTGCTTCAAAGATTTTTCATATTCCCTTCATTATCGATATGAATTTTCTACTAACATGTTAAGTGCGTTTTAGGTGTGTGCAAATTGCTCAGAACTGCTTCATCAATCACAGCATTTTATCCATCTTACCTCTAACCGTTTTTTAGATTCCGTCTCCACTCCCATAATTATGCATAATGGTTTTGTGTATGTGCAAGAACCTTGATGTTTACCAAAACCTTGAGATGTATGACGATATTTTACGCAGAGTACAATTCAAATATTATTTCTCAAGCAATTGTTGAATTTTTGTTGAGTTTCACGATTGCTATTTGAGACAACGAAAGGAAGGCAATATAGAAGGCATTCATAGTCAAATGATTCAAAGAAATGTTCATTGCGATTTTTGGTTCAATTTTCAATGTTGACTAAGTGAGTTACAATACGAGTTTCATTCGCAATTTCTCACCTTTGCATCATAAGCGTATTTTATCGGTTCCTGTCTGATCGTGAGTTAAAGAACTTCTGAGTATGTCTTCTGAGGTGGAAACCTTGTAATAGTATAGATTAGACAGAAGACTTAGGTGGAAATCTTTCACTAGAATTTCACAGCATGAATGAGGAGTGATGTGATAATCAGTATTTTGTTTATTTTTTCTCGCATCATTTCAAAAGCTTTTATCTTTCAGTTGTTTCCTGTCACTGATGAAAAAATTCTTCATCACTTTTTACATGATCAAAGGAGTATGATAAGAAAACCGCTGTAAATGATCGTAAATTGTTTTTGATTATATGATTAAGCAGAAGTTATCGTTTGAATATATAAGGGAAAGAAACACTATCAGTGGTAGATGTTCATGAGCAGATTACATGCAAATTATGTGTTAAATATTCTTTTATTACACAACGTCTTGAATGCACAACACGTCAGCAGATAGATGCTTGCTGATATGCATTGTTTGTGTAGACATTTAGAAACACTTTGATGCGGATCGTCAAAATCAACATTTAACATATCGCTTTACGACATATGCTCACGTCTGTGTTCGCTTGAGTCTATGATGCAAATGAGCACGTGTTTGTCGAGCATTCACAAAAAATCCGTTCATAGAATAATGACATCATCATGGTACGGGTTGAAAATTTTGTTGTTGAACGTTGAAAACTCTTTGAAAACGAAAGCGAGGGCAGGCAACAGATCGGAGCAGATCAGAATGATTGATATTGATCAGTGGAAAATTGAATTGACGTGGAAAACTACTCTTGCAAAATATTCGACGAGGATTTCATCTTACATATTGAAATATGTACGAGTAAAAGCATTTCTTATTTTCCTGATGATAACGCAAGGTGCTGAAAGATTAGAAGGATATGGAGGTCTGCGAGAGCATAGGCTCGAAAATGTTGAAAAAAAATTTCATTATTATTAGTGCATTAACATCACCAATTGTAAGTAAATCATTAACAAGGATTCGAATGAACGAAAATTCGATATAGAAGCAAATGTACGTTTGCGTTTGTAAGTTCACAACGAATAATCCTGCTCGTCTAATTCAGTCAATGATTCCGTGAATTGCTTCCGGTAAAAAGTTTTGAGATTGCCGTTGAATTCGACAGTGATATTCGCGTATCTGCATTATGAGATATATTTTTTCAGATACGTCTGACTTTTGATGTCTGTTTTTTTTTCACTTCTTGAATTTGTCGATTATCACATCGTTTTTTGTTCCATCTCTCCACTTCTCCTCTCGAATTTGTCGATCATTGAGCATTTTTTGATTCTTCTTCAGTTCAAGAATTCAACTTTTCAGTGTTTTTTTTTCATGCCGTCTGACAAGGGAACAAATTTTGATAAATGATCACCTAACATCTCGTAAATTACAGTGAAGATTTTCGGTTTTTATGTTCTTTTTCTGCAAAGCTGAACCCGCGAAATCAATGTGAATATTGAAATGAACTGCGAATTTGCATTGCTGAATTTTCTCCTTGATTCTTTCTTTATCGATCAATTGGATCTGCAAGCATCAAACTAAGGACTGTTACTGAAATCGCTATCCGTCCATTATATCGTTGTCGTTGTAATGCAATTGAAGATGTCACAAAATAGCACCATCTCCAAAATATTTTACTTCATCATCCAAATATTTGTGTTGAATTCTCTTTTCGTGTATCTGATTTATTACATTTTCATTGCAAAACTGGATTTAATCGATCATAAATTTGGTTGCTCTTGAACAAATGTGGATTTGTTTCATTAGGAAATTTATTACACTTTTTATTTTTTCAGTATTCTTTTGTCTTAAGTAACTCGTTCAATTTGTTTACATCAGTTGCTTATTTATGAACGAATCAATCGTCTGCTTCAGTTACCAAAAAAACAACTCATTTTATATTGAAAAACAAATGAATTTCTAGACACTGTTGCATTTGCTGTGATTTTATCGGAGCAGCTCTGTTTTTGCATTCGTGTGGGTAGTTATTGTCGAAGGGAATGATTGAAAATAAATTGCTACATGGTAGCTCATCAGTGTGTTTACTAATTCGCAGTTATTTACTGTGACCAAAGTACTTGTGAAATGAATGAGTTTCCGTTCAGAACGATCGATGTGTGGTGTAATTTCTGGAATTATTTTTCATTTCATACGATGAAGGCGAATCGAGATGAGTGCACATAACACTGGATTTGTTAACTTATTGAAAAGAAAACCTAACACCAAATGTTATTGAGTTATTTAGATAAGAGACGGGAAAAGATTCATACAAGTTGACTGCAATCAAACAGAATGTGAAAATACAATAATTGATAGTTGAATAATTTTCAGGGCAAACTCGCTCACGTTCTCACACAGTTTGATCACGAAATCGATAATGCATCTGTTCACAAAGGAAAACAAATGTATCTATTTGCTGTCTGCAGTATCTTGATTTTCAAAATTTTCATCGTTCCGTTCACATTCATTTATCCGAAGAAAATGAAGCGCAAGCACTTCAAAAAATTCTTGTTGTTGAAGTAATATAACGTATGGAAGTGACAAATCATGTTCATTATCATTCAGTTGAAGAGGACGTTTGAGAAAGTAAACTGCATCAGAGAATACGAAAATTCATTAGTTTTTCATTTCGAGAATCACTACTACTCGTTGACGTGAATGCATCCGAAAGAATTGTAGGATCGACAAATTGACGGGTGCTTTATATTTGGGCGATTTGGTGCGTCGTATCTTGGCTCAACTTGTTCTGGACGGATTTCTATTCAGCGGAAAGCCATGCGAGAAGTTGGAAGAAGCCGATTCGTTCCCCACCAAATATATCTCAGAAATTCTTGGGTTTGCTGATTGTTTTTTCCTTTCTTTCTTTCGTTATTTCAATTGAAACTGAAATGTGTGTCATGTACAGTGATATGACAGTAGAGTCGATATGTTTGCATAACATGAATGATACGTTGCAGGGAGGACGAGGATAGCTTTAAAGTGTGTCGACGAATTTGTGACGAAATGGACGTTCCTAGTCATTGCGCGTACGATTATGAAATAATTCGTGAGGTGTGTCATGTGGTCTCGAAACGATCTGCGTGCATTGTTGCGGCTGGTAAGTGACAAATGCTAGGGCATTGCTTGTAATATTCGATGTCTATTTTAAGTGATGAATTCGAACAGAAGCAAGAAGAACGACTGAAAACTTTTGAACTCTCTAGTGGAATGCAGAGAACTGAATGTGAAATTTTTGCAGCTGTATCAGCATTGCTACGCCATATGGGACAGAAAAAGATCAAGATCGGCGTTGGTGGCGCACTGATACAGTTCCATCCCACTTATCATGTACTACTCGAAGAGAAATTGAAAAGTCTAGCACCTGAGGACGTCAAGGTTTGATTCAAGCTTCATATGTAGTCACCGCTCGATGTATTCTTTCTCTTTCTAAAGATAACACAATTGAATATCATTCAAATTTCCTGTGCAAGTATCTTTCTCCTGCTAGACTCATCAAAGTGATATTGTTTATGTTGCGAAGTGTGAATAAATAAACTGTTTTTTTTTCAGTGGGAATTGGTTCCTGCCGACGAGGGAAGTGCAAAAGGAGCAGCGATGCTGGCTGCAGTAGTCGAGAAGATGGGTATCTAAGAGGATATGAACGGCTGGATGGAGGGGTGGATAGATGAATGGATGAATATATAGGTATCGTGGCGCATGGGCTGAAGTGTTTTTCGAGTTGATGAAACGAATCTGATGAATCGCTGTTGTGTTGTGTACCGCTGAAAAGTCTGTTTGCGATATCAGTTTTTCATATACCTTCATGCTGACCATAGCTTTCCTTTTCTGGTAGTTTTAACGCTGACCGCAGTGTTTCGTTGTGTCCGGTTGCTTTTTTCTCCCCGTCTTCATGAGAAATTCTTTTGGCTGCATTTATTGGTGGGTGTTGTAATAAGTTGGTGTGTTTAGTCTTCAAAAACTGGATGGAAGAAGACAAATTTTGACTTAACCAAACAGTCAGTCAGCAGTGGAAAAACTGTTGTTTGTAAGGATGGATTTCTGTTGTCAAATTTCTGAGTGAAATTAAAGTACGGCGATGTTTTCTCATTCGTTTTTGTTTGATGGATTAGGACTTCATCTTGATAACTCACCAAGACGATGTATGTGAACGGCTTTATGAATAAATTGTCGTATTTATTCATTCATTCTTTCTTATTTCTCTCTCAACTCCAACAGCTAATCTGAATAGTTCTTAGAGCACAAGCAAAGCTTTTAATTTGTTGAAAGCAACCAGCATTCAGCAATTGTGCTTTTTGATGTGTATTCGTATCAGTGGTATATTTATTTGTTCATTATTATCGCCATACTATCAAAAATTATAGTAGTTTTGCGTGATGTGATCATAATTCACAAAAAAAGTTTAATGCTATCATGAAAATTCCTTCTTGCTCACAGTTTGCAACTTCGATCAGGTCAAAAGACAAGTTTTTGTGGTGCTCTTTTCCTTGAACGTTTGCCGAATTTTTGTACAAGTTTTGCGCAAAACTGAATGAATGGCTCATGGATTATTTGTCACATCGCGGTCATCGTTCAAACTCAACTAGTCCAAAAGCAACTCACTGAAATTGGCTGAGAAAGTTTTCAGTCAACAAAAAAGTTATCAAAGCAATTACGGATCGATCCATCCTGAGCAGTTTGCTTGAATTGAGCGGCCAGAAAGTTTTGATTGGTATTGTAACGAGTTTCTCGTCCAGTTGTACGACCCGTTGGTTTAGGTACGGATTCGTTTCGTTGCCATTATGAAATTGTATCTTTTTTTTGCTTACGCAAAACTTTGTTCGTTCTTTCTAAATGTTTCATAGTTTGTTAGTTGTTTATTTGAATCAGACAAAGAATTGCTGCTTTCTTGACAAGTAAATAGTAAATAGATCGAAAATAAAATATAAGAGACGATACGTCGAGTGTTTCATAATCTTAGCCCAAGACATTTTATAAGATGACTTGATCTGGAAAGTAAGATGACATATATGATTGCATCATTTCATTTCTCAGTGATTGCAAACTTAGAAATGGACAACACGTTTTGCGAGCAACTTTCATTACCAAATCATCTTTACTGAATAGCGAGTATGGTTTCTGTTCAATTTCTTTCCTCTCTTCAATGACAACGTCGTGATGCTCATAATTTGAAATTAATTATTTAGGTTATTTACATGACAGTTCGGTTGTTGTGTTAATTGCATGATATTTTACTCTCGTATTTATATTCTTGATGTTTGTCTTATGAATTGTTTTAGAACGAATGATAGAGTGTTTCATCTTGTTAGAGTTAATTTAATCTATATTTATTATATGGTCGTTTAATTGATGTGATTATATCGTTACAGTTTTATTGTATTGTTTATTCATTTGTCCTCTTTTTTGTGCTTATTCGTTTTGTTTTGTGGTTTTGCGTTCTATTTTATTATAGTATTTATGTTGTCTTCACCACACATTCATCTCTTCGTTGGCCATCGAATAACAATTGTTCTTAAGCAGTTCATTTCAAGTTGTTCAGAATTGTTGATCGAAGCATTCTGTCTCAGAAATGGAGAGGTTTAAAGTAGTGCTGGTGCAAAGTGTTTATTATTGCTTCACGCAACATTTATTGCGTTAATAGATTCGGTTTATGGAGTAAGACAATGAAAATTGTTCGGAAAACAGTTGGAAGCATTGAATGAGAGATTGTTAATGAAACAAGAAGAATCAGCGATGACAGATCGATAACAGATAAGTTTTAAACAGGTGCAATATATGTTTCAATGGTTGACGGTCATTGTTCGCGAATGATATTGCTTTGAAGCACTGAATTATTCACGGACTTACCTCGTTTGGTACGATTCGGGAATGTAAAGTGAGTGCATTGCTTGTCTGAACGTTATTGGTTAGGAAGTGCATTTGTCACAATAGGTAATACTACGTATGTATGAAAAGCGAAGAGCACTTATCACTGAATCGCAAAGGAATGCCAAATGGATAACTTAGTGTCAATTGAGATGTGTACAAAAAATGCAGTAAGCGATATGTATAACTAGCCGAGTGATCGGCTCAGGTTAATGGATTGTTCGCAGTCAATTCTCGTCCTCGTCGGATTTGCGGTCGTGAGGAACGCATTCGATTGAGCGTTGTGTTCGTTTCTCATAGGTGTGACAGTAAAATCCATCGCAGATACATTCACCGAGCTCCTTCGATGACGAGTCATCTCCAATGCGATCGTCTACCAATTCATCCAACTCATTCAAATTCTCCATTCTCGAAAGTGATTCTCAAATTCATAAAATTTTCCACTCATACAATTAGGCGTTTACAAGTAAAGACAAAAAGAGAACTGATTTGAGAGTTTGTTGCAGTCGCTCGATCATTTCATACATTTTACGGATCTGGTACGATTCGGGAATGTAAAATGAGTGCACTGCTTGTTTGAACGTAATTGGTTAGGAAGTGCATTTGTCACAATACATCTGTCTTGAAGGTAATACGTATGTATGAAAAGCGAGGATTGCTATTTTACGGATAGATATGCAGTTTTGATTCACANTTTCGCTTGAATTTCATTCGATTGAAATTTCTACTTGAATATTACAGTAGATCATTTTGGTTCGCAGAAAATTCAGTTATACTTGAGATTGAGACGAATTTCGCTGATGGAATGAATAAATTTGATGTGCATTAACAATGAAGGAAATCGACAGGTCTGGAATAATTGCATCGAAAATCTGCATTGGTATTTTTGGGTGATTTATGCTTTTTCTGCGGCGACTAACGATGGCGATCTGTTGGAATGATGTGATTGTGAAGTGCTGTCTTCATCTACTCCCATCCCACGATCAGCGTAAAGAATTGACCGATTCTCACCTTCGATATGATCACGCTGATCCAATTCCGTTGCTGATGACATTGTTTGTCGTTCGTTTCTGCTGTCGACAACCTGCTGAAAACTTCGAATATATTTTCAAGAAAATAAACTCTTCTAAACCATTCTCTACCGTGTTTGTGACATTCGTTAATTAGACGCATAATTTATAAGCAGTAAAGTGTCTGTCAATGAGCAGTCTAATGCAGGAACCACAGACACTATTCACTTCCAAATTTCAATTTATTACCGTTACGATCGTTTTGAATAAACATGTAATAAGGACAAGTGTGAACCTCCCACCGGGGTAGTGCTAAACTTTTTTGTATTTTAACCTGCTGTAAGTCTGAGTAAAAACCTAGGCGTAAGCTTCAAAGTAGGTCAGAGCCTAAGCTCAACTTTGTTCCGAACGCACGAAGTTCAAATACACTTGCATGTATTACTACTACAATTATAGAGCCGTGCCGATTGCCAACATGAATTCATAGTTGTTGTTAATATTATATTCGGCATGCATGATAAGGTCGATAATTGGAACGCACAAATTTGGATGGATGAATGAATTGCTTATAAAGTGAATGAAGCAAATGCCCACTCACCGTTGGATATGCTGAAGAAAAGCTGCATTCGTGTGAGATGATTATCGATAATGTCATCAGTATCATGAAGAAAGTCGTCAATGAACTACATAAGGACACCTTAGTATCCATTCGTATGCAGATCTGCATAAATGTTTAAAATATATTTTAAATGACAAGTTTTTGAATCATCATAAACATTCAGTATTTCATCGTTTATTCGTTGGTAGCAAGCGCTCATAACGAACATAGTCTTCAAAATGCAATTCAAATAATTACGCATTATGCAAACTATACGTGATCTTTTCATGAGGGCATCGCAATCAGTTGATTAAAATCAAAACGACTATACCAGCTGGTTCTACTATACAAGGACATCGTTGGATACGTGAGGAACTGCGAGATGGCCAAAAATGAAAACATAGTAATCATATAGAGGATGATCATGCAATACATTCAATAAAAATGGTATCACATTCAAAATAAACGTAATGATGTCCGAAAATTGGCACGACACATATGCAAAGACACGGTTCAAAAGATGGACCACTTTCAATGGTACAATGCACAGGAAATGCGCTGAGGGCATGGGATAATGACGCTTAATCTACACATCTCATCTACCTATTAGTTAATAACATGCCGCTTGCATAAAACAACGGTTAACGTTCTCATATGACTCGTAACTTTACATAATTCGTAATTAATACGTACATAACTGTTTTATTGTTCGAATGGAGTGGGCTCTCATAGTCAGCTACTTTCGTTAAAAAGCCTCATAAGAGATAAGGCTGATTTGTTGGGATGTCTCTTCGCGATATATCTAGATAACACTATTTATTTTCAAGCCACCTGTAAACTGACAAGGTTACAACCCCTACTTCATACATTTGATCTCTCCGCTGATCAATGAAGATTTTTTTCTTCTCCTTCAACGACACAATTCTACGGGAATATCAGAATTATCACTGTAGGTGCTACTTTTACTTTCAAATCTTCTCGGTAAGCATACGATTTTCAGTGCTGTCCGAAAAGTCTAGATCTTAAGCTATACCTAAGTTTGAGGTGGTTTGGCTCAATTACCCAAGTGTGATCTTAATTTCTTAATCGCATCAAAGGGATTCACTATTTTCGAGGATGAAGGTTGCCAGCAAAGTTGTCAGGAAATCGTGTTATTCAGAATAAAGGATATTTATGAAATGATTTGAAACAAGACTGCTTTTTGAGGCACAATGTCGGTTGATAGGGTTCGTTAGATATTCTACACTGAGATGATGGAACGCCAGATGTGAAATTAATGATGGAACAGAAGAGGCATGTGAATTGGTAAATCTGAGAAACAGCATCCCTCGAATATGCAAAGCGAATTTGATTTACCAATATTTTATGTTATAGTGGTACTCAATACCTTTGAAGTCATTCGATGAATGAATTTTAAAATTTGCCGATTGATCGTTTGAACGGTATCGAGAGTAGACATTTCTTTTAACTGATTGAGTCAATCAAAAACGACGTACGGCTAAAACTAAGACTGATTGAACATTGTGCAGAAATCGAGATTAATGAATACAAATGACGACTCTCATTTAATCCATTACGAAAAACATTTCTTTCGATAGCAATTACTTTCATGCTGATGCACTATGAAGTTATGCGCCACCGCGAACTCAATCACTGTTAATACCATCGTAGGAAATTAGTGACATTTGCAATGGTTTTTTGTTGGCATTTGGTGCAGACGTTTGTTATTCCAACGAATGATTCGTAATGGAATGAGACATTTCTGCTTTTCATAAGTCAAATACCATGAGGCTTGTTGAAAAGTTCCGTCAAATAAGAAGGCATTGTGAAAGGTGGTTGATTCTATGGAACCTACTTTCATATTGACATGGGCGATAGATCATTTTGCTCACATAAACTATTATTCACTCCATGGTTTTCTCATCAAAAATTGTCCTTCATTTTCTGCCTGTTCAAAAAATATCCCAGTGTTGTTTTCGCTTATCCGTACTACTGCTTGACAGTTGAGTTCTTTCCCAGTTTCATTCCTCGCGAATTATTGTCAGAGGTATTCATGGAAAGTTGAGGCTGTAAGAGGGAGGAGATCACCGAGAAATAACGATACAAATCGCAGTATTCGTTTGCAATCCGAACATTCCTAAGCAAGAGCTCTGATTCACACAGTCATGTTTCCATTCAAGATAACTCAACGAAGTTCCCAACTGAAGCGATGATAACGTAGACGTGTTTTAAAATTTTTGCGAGGGAATTTATAATGAAAGAAAGACGAGGAATTTTGGTTATTGAACATAAATGAGTGATTATGGTGAGCGGATAAATGAGATATAGGAATGACTAAAGAATAAAGTCTCAAGAATCAACCTATCCGTCAAACACAATTGATTATGAATAGAGCGATGATCGACAAAATGAAGAACGGCGTCTTATGTTTGCTGGATTAACGATAATAAGTTCAATGAGTTGCACAACATCCTCCTTCGATCCTCTTCGCTGTAGTAAATGCTTTCTGTATTTACACAGTGATGTATAATACAAAACCTACAACGCAATGCATACAATTAGGTTCAGTCCCCTTGAACTACTTTCCCCTTGCTCCTATTCCGTTAGATTTGCTTCTATGGTTAGGCAACATGCATGATCGTTTCTTTCATGATCATTTCTCTCATTTTATCTTGATCATTTCAGCACTTCTGCAAACTACCGCATAGAGTAACTCAATTCTGAAGTAGTAGTGGTTCGTCGTTATGAGGTTAGGCGGAGTTCCACTCCCTTTCTATTTCTCCAATTCTCCTTGTCCTTCATCGTCGCTCAACTTTCGTTTGATTCTTTCCCTATCCCTGTCAGGTTGTTCGTTTGATATACTCCCAAAAATTTAGCATGATGCATGTGAGTGAGTGCTTTAACCAGCGAAGTCGAGTTATTTATCAAAATTGAGCACTTCTTATTCGTGTTCACATGTCTCCGAATGAGTTTGACGTATTTTGATGATGATTATCTTGTCGTTCAAACTGTTTGTTCATTCATCATTTTCGTGCATTAATATTGCCTTGATTTGTCATCAATGATTCTTTGCAAATTTGTAATATTGACTGTCTCATTTTCGGCATCATCACACGTTTCTCTTTATTTGGGTGTATCTTACATATTCAAGAAACCTTTATTTATCACTTTTGCTTTCATTTCTTTCAAATGTTGATGCTTGAATAGCAACTCAACTACTTCTTNTTAAATCACTACGCGTATAATTCATATAGTACTGCGCATGTGTGATACGCTCTCATTTGTTGCATTGAATGATTTTATGTTAATTTATGCATAAACATTCAATTATGCTAATTCATCGCTGAAGCATAGCACTGTATGGAATTCACTCAGACGTTCCAATATACAATTACAGCCAGTCACGACTCCATATTATATATATTTACATATGTATGTAAATATATTCATATACCTTGTCAGATCTCTCAGTTCAGCATTCTGTAAAGCATTTTGATTATCTGTAAATATCGTATCGTTGACTGCGTTGTGTCCTATAAGGGGCATGCGTCTTCATTCAAATCATCCTTGAATTTCACCAGCGAATTCTGATTGATTACTGTTGTTTATAGTGCTTTGGATGATTCGCATTGTAAATTGATAATGAATGGGATTCAATTTCCTAGTTGATTGGGAATTGTGATGAACTTTTCGTAGAAAGATACCCTTGTAGCTAGACTAAGCCAAAATCGTCAGATATTCAGATATTTGACACGAGCGAAGGAAGGAATGACGTTACTATTCAGCAAGATAAAGCCTATATGAGGTCAATTAATCATCACTGTCAGTGTGTTTTTGTCCTGGTATTGCGTGACCATTTTGAGATGATTGATGAGTGAACTTTTAATTTATTAAAATGTATGGAAGAAAGTAATCGCCTTGCTTAATAAGTTATAACTTTCAAGTGAAAAGGAATCGTTTGGAAAAACTGTTATTGATAGGTTCGACTCTACTTTAGCAAAACTTACTGTAGTATTTTTGAACGATTTCAAATTTGTCACATTCCATTCAGCTATTTCCATATATTAGAAACTTTTAGTTTCAGTCGATTCGCGAAAGAGCAACAAAAAAATTTCAAAAATTCTGCTCTTTCACTGTTTTTTGCGTTGAATAGATTGATTCGCTTGAGATGAACTCACTGTTTTGTGTATGAGCTATCGACTGAAGTACAAAACAACCTTATGCACGCAAACGGATAATCCTCAACCGAACTGCACATCTGTCGACGTTTAAATCGTCATTTTGTAACGGTAAAAACCGAAGCAATTTGTGATCGTTTCTTTGTGATCACTCGTCGCTTATATAATCAAAAATGTGAACGCACACGCTCACAACTCTTTCACTCGCTCACATTTCCAGTTCTTTCGCCAAAAAAACAAACAAACAACAAAACGAAATCGCTTAGCCGTGTTTGTGAAGCAGATAAAAACCGATAATTTATCGCTAGAATATGACCGAAGAAATGATGCAGAAAGAACTTCCTCTGTTTATTCAGACGTTTTGCTTTCGGCAGAAATTATCTTCAAAACTACCTTTTTGCAAGAAAAACCGTTCGCTTCTTTGTTCAACAGTTTATTTTGTTCCAAAATCTGAAAGTAATTAGTTGAAGTTTTTTATTTCGATTGTTTCCAAATGAATTTTGTGGTAAAAAGGGTGCCGGTTGGATGCATTCAATAAATTTGAGCGGAAAACTCGCTATCAGTGAGTTAATATTTTTATCATATTATCATTATCATGCAATCAGTTGTCTTTCATATGTTGAATCAGCTTTGCGGTGAGTTTTTTTTTGTTGCACTGTTGATTGTCATCAATTATAGTCTTTTTTTTTGAAGATCTGTTTACTTTCTTATCAGTCGATTCGTTTCTACAAAATGCTGATCAATGCTGATGAAAATAATTTCTTGACGAGTTGGTAGGGCCCGTTATTTGTGGTTATAATATGAACATGACTTTTATTTTATTGTTAGTTTGTCTTAACGATTGGTAGTCTTAACATTATGGTCAATTCTTGATTAAAATTTCTATCATTATTAACGATATTATCGCTGATGGTAGTACAACATCTGTTGTTATTAATGTTGTGTAAAATTGACTAGCGTTTTTTTTGCGAATATTGGTTTTTAGAGGATTCATAAGAGACATGAAAATGTTTTCGCATGCATGACTTTTCATTGAAGTGTACCGCATAATAGAAACGTCGATAGTTTTCTGCATTCAACATGAAGATATTTATGTGAATCTTCATTGCTCATTCACATCACCTCACTCCAAAATTAATACGCATTTTATTAGACAGACGGCTTAATACCCTTTCAATCTCTGCCAATATTATTGCCTTTCTTCTTCTTTCATACCTTTCCTCAACTAATATGTCCTTTGCCCTATTTATTTATTTATTCTAGATTATTCACATCAAATTATTAGGTGTTCAATATGGGAAACGTATTGATCATTTTGTGAATAATGTTCGACGCGACCCAATGACATCAGTTGACATTGAGATGACGCGTCTCTTTGCCACTTTGACAAGAAATAAGTATTTGATATCGATTTACTTGAAAATCACTACTCATCATATCAACTGTGTAGTTATTGGTCAGTTTACGCTAAAAAATCTTTAATTTAATATGAATAACGTAACGATTCCATTCCACATTAGTTATGCCAAGCATCTTTACCATTCGTACAATTGTGTTAGACACTGTAAGGAAACGTTTTATCATTTCCTCAAAATGATCTGTCATATTGAAATGACGTTTAGATTTTAATTTCCAATTCAACTGATGCAATTGACGAAGATTCTGTTATCTCTTTCATTTGATTATCGTTAATCTCGTATTGGTTATTTTTCATTTTTGCTATATTTTTATCGATAGTGTTTTTAATCCGTTATTACAGATATGGCCATCCTTATTCTACTTTTGCACAAATCGCTCCTAAAAATTGTCGTCATTTCAGTGCGTAACTATGTTATCTTTAGAAATAAATTGTGTAGAAATTGTTGAAAAGGATAAATGAAACCACCTCCAAAATTCTACGATTGTCATTACAATGCGATATGTTGATACACAAAAAATTGATGACCCAGTCAGTTGTGGCCTGCTTACACCACCCACAACAGCCATACGAATCGTGTTCATTAATCAGTGCCATTATTTCTATCATATTTATGGTTTGGTTATTGTTTTAAGCAAGTTGAATGAAGCCAACGATAAATCAATGTGTCACATTCTTTACTATTCCAAATCGCACTTTTTGCTCATTTTCCTCTTTTGTTTTTGTTCACTTCGAAAGCACTCCATTCGCTGTTCTCATCGTCATTTTATTTTACAGAGTTCCATTATTCCATCATCCAGAATCTTCTGCTTCATTTGAGAGCGTTTGCTTTTTAAGATTTGCTACTGCTGCTGCTGCGCCTACTTAAGTCAAGCTCTTATCAATCAGCCAGTTTGATTTTTGTTCTCTTATCGCCGCAGTCTAATCTCTAGGTAAATGAGCGATTTTTTCTTCGCTTTCAAAATGTAAAACAAAAGCAACTGAATGTTGTATTGTTCTGTCATGGTTTTTTTCTTTTGAAACGTTTGTTCCAGTTGAAAGCTCACACTGACTGCCATTCTTAAAACTGACAGATTATTGTGATGTTCTAGGCTTGTATTAAAAAATCACCAAGTGTTTTGCTGATATGGCAGTGGTTCGTTCGTAATCGTCGTGAATCTCATGCTATATAAATATTACATGAGCATTTCAGATTTCAGAGGTTTTTGTTAGTGTTGTTATGAGGTGAATGAGCTGCAGTTGGCGAGGTGATGGTGTATATTAGTTCTTTATGGCATCTACTGTTGGTGCATTGTATTTATGAGCTGTGCGCATATGCAGCAGTAGCGATTACGAAACCACCGATTCTAACGCAATGGGACAGTAGCGATGAGTTGCATCTAGCTGAAGGTGATCCGCTCACGTTGCGATGTCCGATTAAGTCGAGTGGAGCCGACAGTTTTCGGTGGTTTAAGGATGGTAAACCATTGAAAGAAGCATCAAATAATTCACAACTTTATATTCCTTTCTTAACCGCAAACCATACCGCTGCGTATCGATGCTTTACACAAAACCAATACGGCGCTGTTATTTCATCACCGGTCTTAGTTTACGTTTTGTGTGAGTTTTGAACTTATAATTTTACTTGTATATTGAAATTGTACTCCTCATTTCCTTTCAGTTCATTTTTTTGCCATTTCATAAATGAAGTTATCGTTCAGCCAGTAATAATGGAATTTGATAAACCAATTGATTATATGCGGAAGATTTATCCTTCTTTTGCAGAAATATTCATTAATCATTTCTTCATCGCTGACACTGATTCATTTGAATAAATTCGCTATTTGTACATTGAAATTTATTATATCAGAAAATAGACAAACAGTTGTCAAAACAAGCGGTTGTCAAATGATTGAAACATACTTTAAACTGATTTATGATCCAGTCCAGTGATTGTGTCCGAACATGCAATAGTCTATATTGCTTTCTTGATGATATTATTAAAATTTTTGCTACCATTTTCGATTGAATTCGTTTCAGATATCAATGGATTCTTACTGGATGAAGATGATGAGGTTAGAGTGGGCTCAGGTAATGCATTTATTTTACGAGCGCCGCCTCTGAACGCAAGCTCTCACCTGAACCTCTCGTGGAAATGGTTTTTTGAAGATGCTGAGGTCAGCTTTTGGAGTGCATTTGATCCATCGTCTTTTGATGTTGATCTGTATTTTTTCCAACTATTTTCCAACTAAATTGTTTGTGGTTGATTAAATCATCTCCCCAGTGTACTATTGATATGTATTCTGGAATTCTTAACAAAAAATGGAGGATATGCCTAATTGAATTTATGCATTATTCCGAAACTTCTTTAAATTTATGCATTCTGAGAGCACTTTCTAGCCAGTAGAGTCCTCAGAAAGAAAGTGAACTTCTCATGCAACCAGCACATAGTATTGCAGTTGTGATCAATGTCTTAAAAGTTATGATTCTGAATGATATAGTGAGTGAATTAGTTTTTGTGCACTTTTAGATAGTCATCAACTATACGCACTATATCACTTCACAAGGAGATTTATTGGTCACAGATTCCACATCTCGATTTGGCGCTTATAGATGTCTTGTATCAGCCAATGGTCACACATTTAACTCACCAGTACAATACGTCTTGCAGGGTGAACGATTCAGTTAAATTACACACTTTGCTGCAAAAGTACATCAAATCGCTTTGTGATGCCCTCAACTGTTACATCATATTCACTTCCACGTGAACTAGTAGTCTCAATTACAGCAAGAGTGGCAGAATACTAAGAAGAAATTTGTCTTCTGGCTGCTCAAAATTTTTATCAGTTCATTTTTCAGACGAGCGATCTACTGCAGGGGAGTTTTCGTCGAGTTTTGGTATAATATATTCTCCTTTGGATGCAACTTACCGGGTTGGAGACTCGAAAAGTGTTGATTTCGACTGTGTTCCAAGCCGATGGTGGGTTTAAACTCTAGGCATCAGCCAGCACATCTTTGCACATCCGTATTAGACTGAAACTACTGACGAGTTTGCTTGCTTATTCAACTAATCTCTCTCCATCTCATTCATTTGGTTGATGCGAATGCGATTAGTACTTCAATTGCAGCGTTGCACTGTCAAGAGTGAGCAGGAGATGGATAGTGTGATTTTAAATGACATTGCAATGTGCATTTCTGACATAAAGATGATTGTTGATTATGAAATTAATTGATAATAGTTTGATAGCAGTTGTGTTAATAACAATATAGAATAGTAATGCTCATCAGTCAACGAAAATTTGATACCTGAGATGGTCGTCAATTATAGATTTAATTTGAAAAAGAACACAAATAAACATCAATTTGAATATTCCAAATTGAGTTCGACAATTCATAATCCAATTTTTTCGCATTTGTCTGCATTATTCCATCTGTTCGATTTTGATGACTTCAATTATTTTGGATCTACTGATGAATGACTTGATCTAATCACGAAATATCCATGTCTTATTCATTCAATTGATCTCATCACCAAATGATTGCGCAACGAATGAGGAATCGAAATCTTAAACGAATGATTTTATACGATCTGATGCAAGTGCTCATTAATGAGGCAAATGAATCGGTTCACCGCAAATAATGATAGCGGAAATTATTTTCGGTACACATAACCAATAATCACTTGAAATGCTTAATTGCCGTTTTGTTATTGCTGCTGTGATTACAACCCATAATGTAATGTTTTATGTACAACAACAATAATTAAGGCTTTAAGAGTAGTTGTGTATCTTCAGAGGATAGCGTCAATTAATTGAAACGTTTAATGCTCTTCTATAGAAAATCAGTCCCAATTACTTCTATTAACCACCTCAATACCACTAATTGTAAATACTGTAAGCATAACCACACAACTAGCGCTCTATCATCCACTTCACTGATCCATGTGTTCATGTTTATGATCGTATCGTACGTAATTGATACACAAACCGTTTTGTGGTTATTTATCATCATCGTGCTAATTGCAAATTAATTAGAGTAAAGAAGTCATGTCCAGTTTCCGCATGGTTAGATGGACAAATGCCTGGCAGAACAAGCTGAATATGAGTGCGCAAGCAATCAAAAGGCATCTTCATATCTATCTATGAGTAAACTCAATAGAGCCCTAATTAGTTTGCTGCTTATTACTAGATCATACTCATTGATGCATCATACTCTTTCTATGTAAATAGCATCATCAGAGTCATCATCATGAATCTGTTCTTGAAATTATTTTCGATGTCAAATGAGTTTGAGATTAATTTGATAAAAACAATCACAGAAGATGAAATCATAGAAGTTTCAAATCATGAAATCATAGTTTCAAGTCATAGAAGAACTGATGAAATAAGTGCTAAAAAGATTTTCTAAAAGCAGAACGACTTGGAATTATCCGTTAGTACTGTTATCTAGATCAGATAGACAAACATCGCACCACACAGTGTTCGCCCGATCAGAGACTCACTCATATGCTTAAATCTCTACGTTCATTCTTACATTAAAAGTATGTTTGACGCATATGTAACACTATTCATCGAAAAAATCGGCTTATTCATAAGGAAGCAGAGTGGAAAAGAGTACATTCAAGAGCACTTCTGATCAAATTGTTTGAAGTTTTAACCACACAATACGAAATATTTAAGGGATAACGATGTATCAATAGAATGGCAGTTGAACGGTGTATCCCTGGAAGAAGATAACGATAATATCAAATTAAGCAACGGTCGACGAAAGCTTTCAATTGAATCACCTCATTTGATAGCACAAAATGATAACGCACTTATCACATGCACAGCAATCGATCACCTATCACAACAGACTGATTCGGTTGATGCTCAATTACATATTATCAGTCAGTTTTATCTGAATTTTTTTTCAACCCTGAAGTTCGTTCATCCAATTTTTTGCATTCTGAATAGCGAGGCTTGAATTTCATCAGTTTTTTATGGCATCCATTCATTTCGAAATCTCTAAACCGTAGATCAATGCCTTTATACGAAGTGCAACATTGGAATAGTACTTCCACAATGTATAATAAGAGTATTATTGTTACTTCTATCGGATTTTTGAGTTCCTGCTATTATTATAATTACCTACGATCAAACATGCGTATGAAGTTGTAGGTTTGGTCATGAAATTCGTTGTTGAATCATTCAGGTGTATAAAATTCAAATTTCAGCACAAGTTTAAACATATAGACCAATTGAACTATGAACTGAAATAATTCTTTTAAATCATAATTTTTATTCATCAGATTTGAATGAGATAATAAATATGGAATGGCTAAGTTTAGTGTTGTGAGCGATAGAATCAATTTGTTAAAATTTATTGGTGCGATTTCATCTAACTCATTAAGGACGGCCGGTAATAGATCGAAGTGCATTCCGTCGAAAAGTATCGCAGTCAGAAGGGCATGCGATAAAGTTGCCGTGTTCGGTAGTTGGTGTACCTGAACCAACAGTTCACTGGTACCGTAACGGTGTATTGTTGAGTGATAACTCATCAACATTAGTGATTCCATCGTCAAACGATCAAGTGTCGAGTGTTTATGAATGTGAAGCACAAAATGAAGCCGGTTTTGATATTGCATCGGTTTGGGTCACCAAAATCGGTTAGTGTAATAGCCCATGAACTGTTTCATTTATCTGCCACTGTTATAATTCAGTTCCGTTAATTCCTCATACAATTCTATGATCGAAAATAATAATAAGTATTATCATATTCACACTAGAATGAAGTTTTATCCGATTCAGTTGAGTGGGAAATTTCATGATTACCCAACAAATAGGTTTTATGCGATGATTCAAGCCGATTTATTCATTCAGCAAACGATTTCATGGCAGATGATTCATCTGTAAGTTCACTGAGGACAACATCATCGCTGGCGCCTCTTATTGTCAATGGGCCGTCAAACCAATCGGTGAATTCAGGTGATGAAGTGACGCTAGTGTGCAAGGCTTCCGGCCATCCTATACCATCTGTTGTATGGAAGCATAACGGTAGTGCTCATTGTTAAATCGTTGCCGAACAACAAATTTGACTAGACTTCGAATATGATTTAACAACTGTGTGCAGTTGAGTATATAAAAATTTAAGCATTCATTACATTTGAACAAAAAACTTTGCAAACAGCTAGTTAATCACATTTTGCTTTTTTATTCATTTCCACCATCAGTGAAACATAAAAACAGTTATTGTAAAGTAGCTGACGGAGTTAGATGCTTTATCAGAGTTCAAGCGCTGGGTTCAAATCCATTTCACAAAACGATTTCGATTAATTCAGGCTCACAACTCTTGACGAATACGAAATATACGATCGATGATCATTCGCTACGAATACTCTCGTTGACACCATCAGATTCTGGAGAGTATTCGTGCACTGCATCCAATGAAAATGGCAACGATCGCGCATCTGCATTCGTTTCTGTTATTGGTATTCACCATTCTATCGTTGTTTCTATTGATGAAGTTCAAACAAAATAGTGAGAAAAAACATATTTTGCATTGCACTGTAATTGTTTCTGCAATCGGAATTGAATAAATTTTTATGCAGCACGAGATTCAAACAAATAAGTGAGAAATAAGAGGTATGTTGTTTGATTCGTTGATATTCGTGATTGAAGGATTGGATCTGATCGAATTTGGACCCACGAATCAAAGCATTCTTATTGGAAGTAATATTATTATGCCATGTAGTATTAATCGGAAATATGGATCAAATGATGGATTGGTTGCATCCTGGAAATGGAATGTACGTTCATTTTTCATTTTATTCGTTAACATTCGTTATCTCCTTCTTTTTTTATCACATGTATTCTAAACACTGCGAAACGATGATAAGTAAGCATATATTTAGCATCGTCTATTGTTCGTTTTGATAATTTATGAAGTGTTTTCGTTTGTTTCGTATCCGAAAGCGTCAAGATTTGGTCTTCGCCTCAATCTGTTCGCTTCTTTCATTTGCAGTTGCTAACAAGTGTGCGTTTCGAATCAATCAAAATAAAATAAATCTTTTTGACAAGAAATTTCGACTATCTTAAAATAGACCTCTTTATTCGTTGAATGTTAGTTAAATAGAATGACATTTAGTAGTTTTATTTGGTTATGGAAAACGAAGAGTGAACGGAGAGAAATAAGTTTTGAGAAACTAGGATGAAGTGTAGAAATCGAGAGTTAATGAAGTGGAAAGGAAATTTTGTGCCCGGATAGTTGCCCGGTTCTAATTGAGTGTTCATTGACTCGACATTTCGTGAGGGCAAGGACTCACTTGATTGCGTTGTAATTGACCTCAGCAGTGGTAAAGTTCACTCGAGTCACGCTTGATTCAATTTACGTATTAGGTTTCAATCAACTTTGTTCTATTATACATATAAATAGATCTTCTTTGAAAGACAGTCTCTATGATTGTTTCCTCGAATATGCGCACACAAAACAATTATATTAGTAGGTCTTTAACGAGTCTAAACCCACACACACAATCAGTGTGTCATTCATATAATTTCTTGATTGCGCACACACATAATTCCTTCCTTTGCATCTTTTGTTTTGATTATTCAGCAATTTGTCGTCAGTCACTTTGTTCAAGCTAATAGCTTATAAAATAGCCAGTCGCATTCAATTACTCTACTGAGAGATTGCCCAAAAACGGCATTCACCGTATTATCAATTTGATTGAATGCCTCTATAAAAATATTCAAACCAGAACATTGCATTCGATTATAAAGCGGATCAAATTTAAGAACAACAAACGAATAGACGTTATTTTGGCTATCTGTTTGAGGCAGTTTAACGCATACACAATGAACGAACAAAAGCAATATGAAATCCGTTTGAGGTGTCAGCATTCGAATTGAATGCAGGCAGTTCTTTGTTTTATTTGATTTCATCATCCATCTATGTATGGATATGTGTAAATTTCGGAATCGCACCAACAGTATCGAAAGTAAAGTCCGTCATTACAACCACCTGCATTGGAATCGTGAATGAATGAGAAAATGGATCACCATCTCTGCATTTGCATCTTATTCTTTCACCTATCATGTTCTTTCGCCAAAATAATTCACAAAATCCTAGCAGAGCATCATCTGAACATGAGAAGTTTTCAATCGTGGTTGCCCAGAATTGTACTTTATGAAGCAAGTTGTACTCCATGATTTTATGCATTCAGGTGTGAATCTTCTACTTAGCTTGAAAAGTTACGCCTTTTATTCTCTAGAAAAGTGCTTTCACGGAATTAATAGTCGAAAGTAATGGGTCATTTGCATGGGAGCCAACTCTAGAATGCCATTAAATTTATGCATGAAAAATCATTCAGCCGCACATCACAATGACAAAAACTGAATTGAATGTTTGCGAATAATGGCAATGACAATGGTACAGATGTATAGTTTTTGAGTTTGTAATATCCACAACGTAATATTTCCTGTGTTCATTGCATGAATAGCTTTTTGGGTCATTATTATGTGCGGATTTGAGTGATTTAATGAACAAACGCATCGGAACGTTATGAAAAAAAGAAGCATTCAAATTTTGAACGGGATGCATTATAATCAGGCAGTTTAAAATTGAATCTACTTCACTCTGTTAGTCAATAATTATTACCAACACTTTTTATTACAATTTCATGTACTGATTAGTATAACTATTGTATCATGACTGAAACCAACTGGCATGATTACTGTGGACATTGTCATCGTTATTACCATCATTTAGGTTGGCTTCAAATAACCTCTTTTGAACCGTCACAATATAACACAATAAGAGCATTCTCTTCTCCGGAAATAAATAACCTGTTAAGTTATCATACAATTCAGTAAAAAATCCGCGAAATTGCTCTGATCAAAAACATGGAATTATTCGGTATTGCATAGATGGATGGATATGTGATGTTATGAAAATGCATTTAGAGAGGACAATGATTTGACATTTCGAAACTCATCGTATATTTGCATTAGTGAGAATGTGAATAAGTCGATAAAGAACTGAGGGAATAGTCGAAAGCATTCGAATGTGCTGAATTATTCCTTGTGGTACTTGAAATTTTCATTATAAATGCAGCTTTTGAGAGAATTTTCACGAAAAGCCAGGGCGATGTTGAAGTGGTTTTATTGAGTGTAAGTTCGAAGTTTTGAATAGCACTTCAAGTCCAATTCAAAAAATCTTCGCTTGAATCCATATTTATAAGCTTCTTTTTTATTGTAATTGATTTTCATCATCATCGTTATTTTTTAAAGTGTTCACTACTTTTGGTAAATCAAATAAATAAAACAAAAGATCTCTGAAAGGAAGTTAATGGAGCAGTGAACTAAAAAATGAACTGCAAAATGCGAAGTGAACGAAAGCGTAATCACGCTTTCGTTCACTTCGCATTTTGCAGCGTTATTTGATTACTATTTAGCCATAAGACTTTTGCTGAAATGATCGGAAATAATCTCAAAATAAACTTCAACTAACATATTATTAAATCATATCCAAATCCATGCAATATCGCATATTTATCGCTAATGATTCGGTGCAATTTTCATAATTATTCTCTACGGCCATTACATTATATACATATCGATTTATGACAGAACATGGGCACCGAACCAGAAGAATTTGTCAAATTTCAACGGAATTTTGTGATATAATTTATACGAATAACATTAATTCTAAATTGCTCTTTAAGATTTAGCAAAGTAATTGTGTGTGAGTGGCATTACCCGTTTTGGGTAATTTGGGGGGGGGGGGGGGAAATAGAGGGGGACGATTAGTATTTAGTGAAA